CTACTTCATTCTACAAACTCCACTTTATAGGTCATTTATAGGTCATTCTATAATTTAATATGTATATATATGTGTATCATACCAACTTAGAAGGCGTTCAAAGGTTTCAAAAATCCCCATGTTCTCAAATAATCACATTTGGAATTGCTGCGATCAGACATTTATTTCTACACTTGAATCACGCACGGGGAGTGACTCACACTGACGCGGGAGGTCGGCTCCTCTCTTCAGGGCAGGGCTCCGGAGCCACTGGTTTCCTCTCAGGGACGCGAGGAGACCTGGCTGAGGACAGCTGTGCAGGCTCGCGGACGGGCCCTGCCTCACCGCTGTCCTCGTTATCTCCCCCGGGTTATTCAAGTGCTCAGGGAAACACTGAATTCAGTCCAATCTGTCACACTTCCAAAGTCAGACCAAAAAAGGCAGACATAGTAATATTTTAGAATTTAATAATTCTAATTATTTTTTTATTTATTTAATATAGAATTATATTTATTAATTCTAAATTAATAATTTAGAAAACCCACATTAATAGTTTATGTTCTTTAATATCTTACTGAATAGAACAGTAAGAAATAACCATCGCTTTAAATGGCATACTCTTCCTAACATGGATACGTGTGTGTGTGTCTATCGTCTTGGCAAGGACCTGTGTGTCTCAGGGTGCCCTACACGCGACAGAAAGCACAGCATTTGGAAAAGACTCTTTTCCGATAGAAAATGCAGTAAGCATAAGGTTCACAGAGCTTTCTTTATTTTACCTTAAATATAGTTGAATTTTAAAAAGCTTCAATAAATTCAATGATTTAAAATAATCAGAGATACCAACACATTTTTCATGGTCCAGAAATGATTCCACAGATTTTCTTTAGCAAAGTTACTTGTAATAGAATTTTCATATTTATATTCTTAGGTAATCATTTGTATTTTCTCTCTATATAAATACTGTCAATTTGTCTAGTGAATTCTGGGAGGAAAAAGGAAGGTATACATTAGTGGTAGTTCTTTCAAAAAAAAAGAAAAAAACAAAAAAAGAAAAACCACCCTGGATTTTAGAAATGGAAAGGGTTTTAATGCCCCCAGCTTCTACCGTTGTAGTAGGTAAGGGAGCAGAGTGGGGCCGGCCCAGCCCAGTGCACCGGGCGCCCTTCGCTGTGCCCCACGGAGCCCGCTGGCCCCGATGGCGCAGGGCACTGACACCCCAAGCCTGTTCCCGTGGAACAGAAGTGTGGGCAGAGCCAGGAAGCCACCTCTGGTGGCTGCACTTGAAAGTCCTCCCTCCGTGAAGGATGCCCAAGTTAACACCAGGATTTCCCCGCTGCACGGAAAAGAAAATGGGAATAGAATTTTTCCCCTCGTTTTTGTATAGAATATTCTGGAGATGGAATTTAACAGAGCTGAAAAATCAGCCTATAGACCCGCCCGTAGAAACGCGTCATGGCCTGTTTCTCCCCGAGGCGCTGGGTCAGAAGACCTCTCAAAAGACACACAAGTGCCTGCCTGCTCCTTTCTCAGCACCAGTCATCAGCCAACGAGCCCAGGATTTTAACACGACAGACGGAACCCCGAGGCCCCCAGGTGGGCTGGGCTGCTGGACCCGGGGTTCCACACAGGTGACTTTGTCACTCTGCCGCAAGCATGCCCGGGGTGGGGGGGAGAGAAGCGAGGGGTCTGGGCTTCCGTGGCGTTAGACACAAAAAATACAGCCCCGTGGAGCGGCTGGGCTGGAAACGCACCCGCCACGTGGTGATAGAGACGCTGGCCGCCGCTGTGGGAGGCTCAGGTCAGGCCGGGCGGGCGGCGGCAAGCAGGGGGACCCGCTGCCTTCACGCTTCCACGCCGACAAAATTAAACAGTGCCGAGTTTAAAAACAATTGCTTTTTAGCCCTTCAGCAATACTTTTTAATTAGTTTTAAATGTTAGTGGTTCCTGTAATGAACTTAGAATAGAAATATATTTAAATAAATAATTTTTAGGGATTGTTGGCATTTATGATTCTTGGATGCATGGTCTGAGCGCACTAGAGTTGACGTCAGGAAGAAGTAAATACCTGGGCTTGTTAAGCTGCAACAGCCCTGGATTTTTACCCTGGAAATCTTTTTGAAATAAGTAGGTCCCATGTTTCCTGCGTTTTAATTTATATTATTTCAAACGGCAAGAGCCTTTACTTCCTTACCATTTTAAAAAACAGATTGAATTTACGGTCTTACTGAGTCCGCTCTTGTTTGCTAATTTCCATCCTAGCACTGAAACCAACATGGGTTGGCCCCTAAGGTTGGGATCTGGGCTGGAAGGCTGGCCCGGACGGGTAATTCCCCCGACACTTCCCAGGCAAAAATCACTGCGGCTTCTAGGGGCCTGGGGTGATTGGAAAAGGAAATGGGTTGGATATGCTGAAATCCAGGCGCTATTACATTTTTTAAAATTTTAAGTCCTATCAAGTGTTACTGGTGAGGTAAAGCCTCTTTTCAGTAAAGACATCCTCCATCTGGAGCGAGGCGACAGCAGGTGCGGGCAGCCCCTCCCCTCCCACGCCCCACCTGGAACGGGCCTTGACCACAGCGATTTATTTCTCAAGTGATCCCAAGAGCCAATACTTTCACTTAACGTTGACGATGGGAAGGCAATTCAGAGTGTGGTCATTTTGGGACACGGCCGGCAGTCTCTAACGAGGAGGTAATTTCTACTACATCTTCGTCCATCACAGATGTAAAAAAAAAAAAAAATCCACCGTTAGGAGGTTGCATTTTTATTTTAGAAAAAAAGTGAAAAATAAAAATTTCAAGACCAATCAAGATACACGTAGATATTGCTTAAATCTAAGCTGTCAACCCTCGTTGACTTTCCTCGGAGAAACACCACGGATATGACATCCACCATCAGCGACCAGAACCTCAAATTCCACGGTTTCCATTCGAATAATCAAGGAACGCAATTCAGAAGTCATATTACATCCTGCATTTTATTCATTTCCATATGACAAAAATAGTAACCTAGTCTAAGACATCCATTTCAATCAGTAGATGTGTCGAGCCACAGATTTATCATAAAAAATATTGGATCTCGGTAAGAACGCCGGCTGGCTCCGGGGGCCCCAGCCCTACGTGGTGCTGCAGTAGAAAAATAGTCTCTCTCTCGACCACGCAGAGAGGGACGGCCTGGTCCTGAACACAGAAGGGGGCGCGCCTCGCCATCCCTTCACGAGCCATCTTATTTACAACACTTTACATTTCTTTTTTAAGTTATATACACATCCTTCTGGGATAAGAGAGAACACTACATGGTACCAAATCCTAACCAAAAAAAAAAAAAAAAATCACACCATAAAGGACCATAAATAATGAAATCATTCCACCGCGGACACAGTAGTGCTGAAGGGTTCGGACAGGAGGAGACCGCTACGCCGGCGGAGTGAGGCATCTTCAGGACACGACGACGTGGCACGGTGAACGTGGCTGTGGTCGCGTGGGAAGGACTGTCCTGTGTTCCTGTTTTAGCTGAGAAGACACCGCTGTCCGGTTCCTGCTCCGGGGCATCTCGGGGCCGGCGCCGTGGGAGGAGGCGCGCCGTCCCAGACTCCAGCACACTCGCAGCGCACAAAATGAGGTAGCACAACACCGCCCGTGCGGGCCCCGACCCCGACCCCGACCCCGCGCCCGCCAGCGGTCCCCTTCCGTACGCCAAGCCGTTTAAACAAAGTCAGCAGCTTCAGACTGTATTTTGAGCGATCGGACGACATTGTGCTTTGTTTTCATCTGAGAAGATAATAAATAAATCAGAAAATGTCCCAGTGGTGACTGATTCTACTGCCAGACATCGATCTTTCTGTCCAGTTTACTGTACATGAGATCCGGTGCTCGGAGGCAGTCAGAATCCTGTCTGGGTGTGAGAGGACGGGGAGGCTGCGGGAGCACCAGACCCTCACAACGTTCTCTGAGCCCGCTAGCTCCACGCGGTGCCACGGTCCTAGGATTAATTCATCAGAGTTGTGTTAGGGGTGGTCAGGGTTTTAAATGGGCTTTGTAGAGAAGTTAAATAAATCATTTTAATTTAAGAAATGGCAGGCCCTAGTTTACTGAGGAACAGACAAGTCTTGGTGGCTTTTCTGTTTAAGTGGCATAGATTTCTCATAGTGTTCCACCTTAAGACAAAACAAGAAACTGTGACAGTTTTTTTCTTCATTTTCCTTAAACCAAAGTACTATTTATAAAATACTTTACATCTTTTTAAGTTTTCAAATTATAGACAAACCTCCCTAATACAAAATACTAAAAGTGCAATAGTATAAATTAAGAGTTCGCAACCACATTATACAAACATTACCTTTTTATTGTACAACTTTGATAATGTGAACTATTTCCTCACAACTGCTTATAATGTTGTGAATAATTTACGGTGATGCTCATCTGTAACTTGTTCCCAATCACTGGGCTACAGACCACACTAGGGAACAATTGTCCACATAGCAGCTACAAACATTTAAATTAAAAAAAAAAAAAAAAAAAGGAACAACAACAAAAAAAGGCTTGTCACTGACAGGAACTTGCACACGAAAGCATGCGGTCTTTCCCAGTGGGACTTCACAACTTGCCTGCATTGAAGTAACTCACTTATTTATAGTAAAACAAACTCTGCTTTAAAAAAAAAAAAAATCACATAGCCAGATGTATTCTGCAGTACAAAAGCTTCCTTTAAAGTTGGGGCTGTATTATCTGTTACCCGCATAATCTTAACATTATAAATACTACAGACGAAGGTACTGCCAGAAGACAGCGCTGGGAGTACCGGACCACATCCTCAATAGTCTAAAAACAGAGTTCAAGTTTCTAACCAATTCGAACAAAACCTTCGAGTGAGTGTTGCTGGGACACGCAGGGGACCCCTCTCTCCCTCACGGGGGTTATTGGGTTTTGGGAGGAACGAAGTGGATGTGGTTTGAGCCCTTTCCATTCCCAAGGCGGTTTTACAAGGACTTCTCTTTTTGACTTAAATTTATTTAACAGGTTACAGAGTTCCCAAGAACAGTCAAGCTCACCGTGGAAAGAGTACCATGCAGTGCGCCCGAGACAACCTTCCAGCAGCCACACAGTGAACGCGTTTTCCGCCACGGGTAACATCTTAAGGGGAACCGGGGCACAGGGCCTCGCAGCCTGGTGGTCGCACTTGACATGTGTGCTCGGGACAGCGCAGATAGGCGGAGCCCGAGCACAGCTAGTTAATGCCAATCTCCTTGTTGTCCTCAATAAACCTCGTGAACGGACGGCCGGCTCCCGATTCGGAGTTTGCCTTGTCCAAACCCACGGTGGGTGGGCTACCGCCGGTGCGCGCTTTGTCCATCCCGGCGGCCAGAGAACCCACGGGGGGCATGGCGCTTCCACCGAGACCTACTGGGAGCTGGGGAATGCCGCCGTTCTGGATGACAGAGATCTCATTGTTCTTCATGGCCAGACCGTTTGTGATGGCTGCAGCGTACTGGTTCCAAAAACTTGGGTCAACGTTCATTGCCCGCGCTGCCAGATCCTTCTGAAACACTTCCGAGAACTTCAGGGCATCCCCACCCAGCAGCGCCATGGGGTTTTCCACCGACAGGCGGCGGCCGCGCCTCGCCGGGGCGTTATTCCACATGTGCGTGCCCATGTGCACCTGCGAGGGAGACACGGAGAGACAAGGCACAGGTAAGCAAGCCCAGCACCGGAGCGGTGCGCGTCTGTCTCCACGCGGCCCCCGTGTTGCCCAGAAACCCAGCACAGTGGTTTCGGAATCGGTTTGTTTCCCGCTCCGAGCATCAGTTAGGGACAACGAAACAGTGTTGGGTGAGCTTTTCTGAGCACCTTATATCAAATATGCAATATTTCTCCTTCTACAAAAAGCAGAACCAGTCACTGTCTTCAGGCATGTTTCTTTCCCTGGATGAGCTCGACACAATGAGGTTCCCCCATACGGTGGAGGGTCCACAGGCCCCCCGGGGGGTTGCAGAGCTCGGAGGGCACAGAGCCTTGCGCCCCTCCTGCCTCTGCCCTGCCCCCCTGGAGGGCCGTGTACTTGAACTCCCAGCTTCCCTGGGCCCCACAGTCACTCTCCCCCTGACGCCGAAGAAGCACCCGGGCCCGTGTGGCCAGCAGAGACTTCCGGCGGCTCCTGTCCTACCAGGAGGGAGCGGCCACGGGTTTGGAGCTGTTCACCGTCTCTGAAAAGTGCACCGCGGCCCGGACAGGCACGTGAGGTGGACAGGAGGGGGCATGCTTAGCTACGAGTGCTCATTGAGCATCTTGTCCACACCCACCTGCCGGGGACAATGGACAGTGTGGTTGCAGTCTTAAACAGGAACCCTACACGGGCCCTCACGCTGGGAAGCTTCTCCCCAAACGCCGGCCGGCCCTGTCGGCAGCCAAGTGGACCAAGGCAGAACCGAGTTCTGGCCTGTGCCCAGGATGCGCATTATTCTATCGTGAGCGAGTGTTTAAAAGCCCCGCTTATCCTGTTGTCCTGGTTCCGCCTGGCCTGAGCGCCCAGGAGCAGAGCCTGCGTGCTTGGTCAGCCCGCAACTGGCGGCGCGAGCCCCGAGGGAGGCCCGGCCTGCGCGGGCGGGCAAGCCGCCCCCACGGCGCGCGGCACCTGCTCCTTCGAAGCACGCGCGCACGCCCGACACACCGCGTGCACGCGCGCGCCACGGGCTTGCGCACGGCCCTCGGGCTGCCCGCAGGCGCGCTGCCCGCAGGCGCCCTGCCCGCAGGCGCCCTGCCCGCAGCGCGCACGGGGGCGGGGCCGACCCCCGGGGCTCAGCCCAGCGCCGTGCGCGCGCGCGCCTTACCTTGAGGTTGCCCTTGGTGGTGAAGGCCCTCCCGCAGATGGTGCAGCCGAAGGGCTTCTCTCCCGTGTGCGTGCGCTCGTGGATCTGCAGGGCGCTGGCCGAGGAGAAGGTCTTCCCGCACGACTGGCAGTTGTGCTGCTTGGGTGTGCGGCGTGGCGGGGGGGCCAGCATGGGCGCGAGGCCGGGGCTCATCACCGCCGGAGGCCCCGGCGGCACCTGCACGGCGGCCGGCAGCGGCGGGCCCTCGCCCGGCGGGATGGCCTTGCTGTGCCCGTTCACTTCCATTTTGATCATGGCGGGCGCGGAGCCGGCAGCCAGGCTAGGAGTGGCTGGGCCGGGACCTAGGGCAAAGTCGGGGTCACAGAACTGAGAAGGCGGCTCGCCCAACGTGTGCGTCAGTAAGTGCTGCTTTAAGTTACCCACAGTGGAGCACCCGCGCCCGCAGAGCGCACAGAGAAACGGGCGCTCCTTAGTGTGGCTGCGGTGGTGGATCTCCAGCGCGCTCCTGCAAGCAAAGGGCTTGCCACAGACACGACACACAGCGCCCGGACACTTACCCCGTTCTCTGCTCAGGAACAGCAGGCCGAAGGGGGCCTCCTCCTTGATGGCCGGCCGGCCGGGCGGGGCCGCCGTGAGGTCCAGCGCGCCTCCGTTTTCGGGGCCGGGGGCAGGGCTGTCCGGCCTTTCGGGCTTCAGAGGCGCCTCCTGGGGCTCCTCCTGGTTGCTGAGGCCCGGGGACTTGGAGTGCAAGCTCTCGCTGTTGCTGTTCATGGGCGACGGGGCGTGCGCGGAGGACGAGGACTCCGACAGGGCCGGGCTGCCCGCGCTCCGGCTCTCCAGGTCGCCCGCGGCCGACGAGGACTCGTTGCTCAGGTGGTCGCTCTCCCCGGACCCGTTCTCCATGGCCTTCAAGGCGGTCAGCTGCGGGCAGCTCATGACCGAGTCCATCATCTTCATCTGGTTCTCCAGGGCGGCGATGCTGGAGATGACGGAGGGCGGCGAGGGCGGGCAGGACCCCGCGTAGCACAGGAGCGGCCGGGGCGCGTCGCCGGCGGGCTCCCGCAGCTCGGCGTCGTCCTCCATGGAGTTCTCGTCCGCGTCGTCGTCGTGGCCGCCGAGGGCCTCGGCCGCCTTCCCGCCGTAGGGGAGCTCGGCGTGCATGGCGTCCATGGCGTCCGGGAAGCCGTCGGGCAGCGGCGTGTTGGGGATCTGGCCCCCCATGTGCATGCGGATATGCTGCTGCAGCACCACGGCGTTGGTGAACTTCTTCTGGCAGATGGGGCACGAGTGCTGCACCCGCAGGGGCGGCTTGGCCCGGTGCACCCCGAAGTGCGTCTTCAGGTTGCCTTTGGTGGTGAAGGCGCGCCCGCACATCTTGCACTTGAACGGCCTCTCCCCCGTGTGCGTCCGGTAGTGCATCTTCAGGGCGCTCTGGCAGCTCAGCACGCGGTGGCAGATGACGCACTGGTTGGGGTCCGTCATCTTCTTGTCGATGTTCTCCACCAGCTGCTGCAGCTTGGACGTCTCTGACGTTTGCATGGAGTCGAGCAGCCCCCCGAAGGGAAACTTTGCCTTGAACTGGTCCGAGCCGGCGGGAAGGACCGGGCTGCACAGGCCCGTGGAGATGCTGTTGTCCGTCAGGGCCGCGGACGCGGACGTGGTGGAGACCTGCCCGCCGCTGGGGACCTCCCCTGCCCTGGTGTTCGCGCAAGGCAGGCTCACGGGCTCGGTTTTGGTCAGAGAAGACCCGCTGAGCGCTGGCTGTGGGGACTCGGCCGTCCCTGGGAGGCCCGACTCGGAGCTGTTGACGCCAGGGGACAGAGAGGTGCATTCGCTAGATGCGGGGGAGGGCCGCTGCGGGGAGCGGCTTGCAGGGGTGAGGCTGGGGGAGTCTGCGTAGCTGCTGACCCCGGGGATGGTGGGCGGGAGCTGCAGCCCAGCCGACGTGGGCACCGTGGGCAACACGGGCTTGCTGTCCAGCCAGGTGGTCACGGGCTTTTCTGGAGGCAGCGACATCCCATAGGGGATGCCGGAGCAGGTGGGCACGTTGTCCAGGTACTCTGGGACGGGGTAGGGGTTCATCTGGATGTGGGGGTACTTCTCCTTGTGCCTCTGAAAGTGGACCTTCAGATTGCCCTTGGTGGAGAAGCGGTTCCCGCAGACGTTGCACTTGAAGGGCCTCTCGCCGGTGTGGGAGCGCAGGTGGATCTGCAGGGCGCTATCGCTCCCGAACACCTTGGCACAGAATCGGCACTTGTGCTTGAAGAACGGGTCCTCGGTGCTGGCCTTGGGCTCGAACACCGACACGTTCGGGGGCTTGCCCTTGCGGTGCTTCATGAGGGCGGACAGGGGGTCCAGCGCGTTGGCGGTGGCCGCAATGCTGACCAGCGGGTTGGGGAAGATGACGCTGCTGGCGGAGGTCTGAGGTAGAAGTGGGTTTGGCAGGCTGGGGGCTGAGCCGAGGAGGGGCCCCGGCCCCAGGGCGGGGGGCGTGGAGGCGTTCTGCGGCTGTGAGCTGCTGCTGGAGGTGCCGGCCGCCAAGGCCGGGGCGGTGGAGGCCGGGGCCGCGCTGGAGGACGCCGGCCCGCTAGCCTCGGCGGTGTCGGAAGGGCCCCCGCTGGGGACGTGTGGGGTGCTTGCCCCGGAGGCCGGCTGGGACAGGTGCTGGGGGCCCTCGTAGGCAGCCGGTTGGGCAGTGGGGCCAGGAGCCGCGGGCACAGGGGGGGGCCCGGCGGAGAGCTGCAGAGCCGAATGGGTGGCCAGCCCCTGGAGCTGGCTGGAGGCCGGCACCGGGGCGCTCTGAGCCGCTGTGGCTGCCCCGGGGTTCAGTGGCGGCCGCAGGGGCTGGCGGTTCATCATGGCCACCTGGCTGCGGATCTGCTCGATGAGCTGCAGCTGGTGAATCTGTTGCTGCTGCAGGGCCATCAGCTGCTCCAGGATCATGGGGATGGCCACCGCCGTCACCCCGCTGCTGGATCCCACGCTGCCTGCAGCCCTCGCGTTCTGGGAGAACTGCGCCACGGCCACCTTGGTGCTCAGGAGGGTCTCCAAGGTCACGTTGGTGTTTGGCATGCTGTATGCGGCCACGGGAGCTGGTTCGGGGATCTGAGGTAGAGGCGGCTTCCCTGGGTGTGAGGGGCCCGGGCTCTGGAAGCTTTTGTCTCCAGCCGGCTCGGCTTCCATGGGCTCCTCCTCCTTCTCGGGGGCCCTCACCTCACCGCCCTCGCCGTTCTCTGTGGGGGCCGGCTCCTCGGCAGCCTCGCTCTCCGTCGGGTCACTGGGAGAGCTTGCCGGGGAAGGTTCTGGAAACTCCTCGGACGGCGGTGCCGGCTCATCTTCATTCACAATCAGCACCAGCGGGTTTTTAGTGCAGGTCTTCTTGTGCTCCAGGAAGTCCGTCCACTTGAAGAACTCCGCACAGCACTTCTCGCACACGTTTGTCTCCTCGCCTCCGCTTCTGCCCTCGCTCCCGCTGTCCCCATCGTCGGCCCCGTCCCCGGGGACGGCTACAAAAACCAAGAGATTACGTCAGCCAGAGGCTCCTGAGACAACCACCTCCATTTCAAAATTTCGCACATAAGTAAAATCAATATTTTTTATTTTGTACAAATTACCCCACTTCAACGTTCCTGACGTCCCAGAGTGTATATTCTATGACTCTTTCTAGCTGGCTAATCATTTTCTCAGCACAATCCATCAAATTATGAGGCTCTATCAATTGTGGATACTGCTTCTTAATGAAATTCCATAGAAGCCATTGATTTCCAATATTTTCATACAATCTTCAGCCACCCTGTCTGTTGGGTACAAAGCCAGCTTTCGATGGGCTCATTAGGATTCCCCCTACCATCGGGCTTCCTCATTTCCAGCAAAATTAGAGATGCCTTTGCCATTCACTTAACATTGCTAAACTAATCTGTAACCTTTCAAACTCACGTCAGCACCGGACAGGGGAGCCGGCCGCCGTGACTCTCGCCGGGTTGGACCGTGAGATTTATTGTCTTTACACGGCACAGAGACATCACACATTTAATGTAATTCTATAGAACCTTTCAAATCAATGGGCATTTATTTCACGTATGAAACTTCATCTAAATACTTTCATCGGTAAATGTAACAAAGAGAATATAAGCACTTCTTACATCCCTGCTCAGAAAAATCGTCTCCCGGAGTCCTAGTTTGATCCCGGATCTTCTCAGCCCTTTGTACCTTCCTCACGGAGAGGGCACATTTCTACATTTTAGGATTTGCGAAAATGAGTATCATCCATATAGTCTGGGCCTAAAATTAATCATGTTTAATACAATTAATTGGCTCTGTCAGATGCAATATTTCTTGACGAAATGAACCAAAATTATATGTTGTTGTGATTAGCCAATAGAGTTCGGCGGTTTGTTAACAAACTAGAAATTATATATTTAAAGTTCATTTATGTTGACATGTTTAACATGAGAATGTTGTACTCAGACACACTTTTTGTACCTATTTTCATCTATTCTCATAGAAAGACTTGGCAAATTATATGCTTGCGCCATAGTGGAAAACCCTCTAATTGGTTACACATGTTTAATTACTGTTGTGGGCAGCTACTTCCTGACTTCCCGTACCCTCTTGTGCCGAATAACAACCATGTTTAATGAACAGTTCTAATTCACACCTGATCAAATAAATAGCCATCCAGGAGCGAGGAATCAGCACACGAGCACATTCCTAGCTCCTATTTTTTGGTAGCTGGGATGAAAGGTAATGCTCGGCAATTACTCAGGCTCGATGTGCTGGCCTACGTATTACTGACTCGTAACTGCTTTTCGTCAACTTACAGAAGGAGTGACAGCAACAAATCAGTTTGAACAGAGACAAATGACAGCTGCAGATCAGCTCTTTGTTACCCTGCACAGCTGAGTGGGAGAACAAAACATCCTCAAGTTTGTGTCCCCGGAAATAATCTGCTGCCGTAACAGCGACAAATATACTTGCTAAGAAGTCTCCATGTTTTAAGACAAAATGTCTTCTTTGGGTTTTGGAAAAAGAGTAACTTGGCCCTGATTTTAGTAGAGAAATCTGATTTTTAAAAAAATCCTGTAAAAACACTTAGTCCCTCTACAGGGAAGAAAATAAAAATATTTTTCGAGGCTAGTCAGCTGCTCTCCACGAGGCCATTATTTCCAGGTAATTTATACATGCCTTTAAAAAAATTATTAGCAGTGTTCAATTAGCATTTTCTTAACTGGCTAAACCATCTGAAGGGGGAAAAGAAGTTAGAGCTTGCAGCCCATAAAGACATGCTAGACTCTTAAACTAAATTCAGTGCTGAAGATCAGACTGCACGAAGTCTCATTACTGTATAAGGAAGGAATGTAATAGGTGTCTATAATGAGGTTGAATATAGCTGGAAGCAAAGACACAGCTGATTTATGCTGCAGATAGGCACATTAACAAAATAAATACTTGGGAGTACTTAACTTTGCTCAGTGTATGCAAAATCTAATTTTAAACATGCTAAGGTTATAGAACAGGACAAAAAACAAAACAAAAAAAACACAACTCCTGAAATCTTCAGGTAAATAGTTCCTGATACAGTAAGTAATCCGGCTGGAATCAATGTTACACTGTATCATAACTATTGTAACTATTCTAACTAAACACAGAATAGAATATTTCTTAAGAGTTCTTTCCAGTATTTAAAGCTATGATATTAAAGGCTTGCTATAATCTTGTAAAGATTTTTATTTTAATAATTTTAAAAGAGAAAAATACCAAGAAATTCAATATTGGTAACTTGTTGAAATATTTTCTACCTTTAACTCCTCAGAGATAAAATGTGTAATCATAGGGCACAGAAAAGCATTCACATGGTGTAAACATTTAAAATTTTATGCAATTAAACACTGTGTGGATCTTATTCAAAGAATGCTTTTTCTTTATGTGGATTATGTGTTAGGGACAATTCACTGCATAAATGCTTACAATTAGGCTGACTGAAAGTGCGTTCAATGTTAGAAAAATTAACTAATTGTAAATAAATGATACCTTACAAATGAACATTTCCCAGATATTCTGTGTAAAAAATAGGTGAAATACAGAAATACTATTCTTGTTTTACACTGTTTTCCTCAGAGCTTAAGTGACCCAAACAAATCTCTATTTACTTTAAAGATAACTGTTTAAGTTTCCATTGGTCTTTCATGCGCTAGGACTTTTAGGGTTCGCATCCAAATTCGTGGAAGCTGGGACGTGTCCTCCCAGGTAATTTCCTTCCCCCACGGGCGGGTCTGCAAACACCACAGGTGTTCCTCACCCACAGAAACTGAACAGAGCATCTCAGCCCTTCCTACCAAATAATAAGCCATTTTGTTTAATGCAATTATAAATGATAATTACCTAAACGTAATGAAGATATTCTTTTTTTTTTTTTTTAAGATTTTATTTATTTATTTGTCAGAGAGAGACAGAGCACAAGCAGGGAGAGAGGCAGGCAGAGGGAGAAGCAGGCTTCCCGCCGAGCAAGGAGCCCGATGCGGGACTCGATCCCAGGACCCCGGGATCATGACCTGAGCCGAAGGCAGACGCTTAACCGACTGAGCCACCCAGGCGTCCCCGTAATGAAGATATTCTTGTCAAAGCAGAATACCCTTCCACTTATATTCCTTTAAAATTGAAGCAAGAAAGCAAATCTGCAGAGGAAATTGTGTAAAAATGGCATTCTGGCCATTTGGACCTGTTAACAGTTCATTATGTTAATGAACCTAACAAGACAAACAATTGTTGGAACTTATTATAAGCAAAGTTTCATAATAAATTTGCCTTTTAAAGCTAAAACATAGTTTAAAAACTACAATTAGTGAAGGAAAAATTCTTCAAATACAATTTGGATTTCTTACTTGGAGCAAATAATTTAGAATCACCACCTATTTTTGTTTTGTTTTGTTTTTTTAATTGGGGTCTGTGCAAACACAACAGGACCCATCGTTACTCTCACTCGCTAGGATTATTCACTACCAAAGGAAGCTAGGATTATTTCACTACCAAAATCTGAAGGTGATTCGCATTCCATAAAAGTTAGAGAACCGCACATTTCATGAGATAGTCTTGAAAACAATGCATACGAATAAAAACTCTATTTCATTATGGAATTGTAATCCTGGTTGCACGTTTTGAGAATGGCATTACACAACAAGCATGAGCACTTCGCCTGACTTGACCGGGAGGAAATAACCCAGATGAGCCCATCTCACCAGGGGCAGAGCTTGTAGAAGGAGGAAGACTGCGGGCAAGTATAGAGGGAAAGCATCGACTTCTGATGTGTTCAGAACAGAGGGGGCATAAAGAAAGTTGTTTTAACTTGCTGTGGCAGCTCTTCTCACTACCAGGATGCAATGTATGTGCTGAAATGGCAGCATTCGAGTCTTCTTCTTTTTGAAAACCACTTTCTCTAACAAGAAAACCCATATGGAAAACTCTGAATGCAGCTCACAGTTTAGAGAACTTCTAACGCCCTTTAACCCTGCCTTGTTTGAAGACAACACTTCTTTGGATGTACAAGCATGCCGCCATCCTGTAGTTAAATTTACATTTTTTAAATCGGCCTTTGTAGTTAAAAATAGAAGTTATTACATCCATTAGTGAACATGCCTTCAAATTTTTATTTCAAGGTAAAAGCATGTCAGTGAGCCAGTGTAACAACAGGACAACCCTCGAAGGGCGAGGAATTTATTTCCAAAGCAATTGGAAATTGTGTCTTAAGGGAGGGGGTTTGAAAAACAAGCATTAGAATCATTATCATTATTGTCAAAGTAATTTATTTTCTGCATTCTGACTGTTCAAGGACGGAGAGACCTGGGGTTGTAAACAGGCCAGGGATGAGGCAGGAATTTACAGGGCCCGGCGTCACCAGCACAAGCCAGGAGCCTGCTCAGCACCTCGCCCCACGACAGCAGGCAGGCAGGACCCTCCCTTCCTGGTTAACAAGCACGTCTGGGTCTGGTCGCCGCTCCTCTGGCAAGCGCCCCGCGGATCTGAGCCCGCTGCGTATCCGTGTGAGGAAGAGCTGTTCTGGGAGGAACTCTCCTTGGCTCATGTCATCCGTGGCCCAGCCATGCTTCAAGCTGAATTGGTTCTCCTGAACGCGGTCAGGAGGAGGGAAGAGAGGCTGAAAGATAAAGCTGTTTCAGTTTACGAGAGGAAATGTGTAATTAGTTCACAGCTATCCCCACACTTGCTATTTATACTGAAGATTTTCAGGGTTTCTATCACTGTTCAAATATTCTGGAGCAGGTTCTACAGAAGAAGGAAAACGGGTCCCACAGTGTTTTAGAGAAAGCCTCTAACAAAAGGATAGCTTTGATGGCAGTCTTAAAAATAGATGCATTTTTTGGTCTTCTCACTTATAAAACACACAGAGAATGTTTACGAAAACTGTTTCTGTTCTTAGGAACAAACCCCTCAGTGTGGGAGGAGCCCCCCAAAACGGTTTCATTTTTCTGTGTTAATTCCTGGTCTGTTACAT